TTTTTTTGATTTTTGTTGTAGAGATGAGGTCTCGCCAAGTTGCCCAGGTGGGTCTCGAACCCTCAGGCTCAGGCAATCCACTCACCTCGGCCTCCCAAAGCTCTGGGATTACAGGCTGAGCCACCGAGCCTGGCTTTAAAATTTTATAGTGGAGTCTGGGCCTTGTTGTGTTGCCCAGGGTGGTCTCAAACTCCTGACCTCAAGTAGTCCTCCCACCTCAGCCTCCCAAAGTGCTGGGATTAAAGGGGTGAGCCACTGTACCTGGCCTTTGACCATGTTTTAAGAAGTATTTTCTTCAGACTACACTGGCCTTCTTTTCTCTGTTTCATTTGCTTTTGTTTTTTGAGTCTTTCTTTGTTGTCCCAGGAGTGTAAGGCAGTAAGAGACATGATTGTGGGGTCTTTACGTGGGAATGAAGTTTGTCTAATGGTGGGCCTTGTGGTTGAGGGACCAGGTGGAAAGCTATGTTGTGTCTCTGTGGGATCTGTAGCTGTCACTGTCTTGTTTCTGGGACTGATCAGTTTTCTGTGGGTATAATCCTGGCTTCTGTGACCTAGTTTCTGGCATTCTGGAAGCAGATAAGACTCCTCCCGGTGATGTTTTTGTTTATCCCTGCATAGTCCTGCTCAGTCTGAATGAGGTCTTTTCTGTTTATTTTCTCAAACTGTTTATTTTTGTGTCTTGAGAAGGGAGGGATAGCAGGGGGCACCTGGTTGCCTGGTAGGTTTGTGGAATTAAGACCTCATCTCCTCTCCATCTTGTTCCTCTGGGTGTAGAACCTTTCTGGGCTTCTCTTGGTTAGCCAGCTCATATCTTCACAGCATCCTTCTATAAGCACCCAGATTATAGATCCCTTTCCTTTCCCAAATAGGTCACAACTCATCCAAATGCTTTTACACATTCCAAAAAATGTTAATCTCATTTGTCCTGTTTTTTTTAAATCCTTGTAGATTTTTATCATATTTATTCCCTCTATGTGTTTTTAGGAGTTGTAGGAAGTGATACATATGGTAATATACTATGTTTAACTGGAACCCCAGAACTGACTCTTTGCAAAGAACAATTAAATTGATCTTTGATGGATATGATTAAGGGAAAAAAATTAGCAATGTAAAAGGAAGTGAAATGTGCAAGAGACTATTACATGCAACTTTATAATCATCAGTTTGTAACTCTACAGCAGGGGTTGGCAAACTACACACTGCAAGCAAAATTTAGTCTAATACCTGTTATTGTCTGTAAAGTTTTACTTGAACACAACAGCCATGCTGCTTTGCTTACATATTGCCTAAGGCTGCTTCTGCAATACAGTGACAGAACGTTAATGGTCCCCAGCGCCTGAAATACTTACTCCATATCCCTTTATAGGAAATGTTTGCTGACTCTGCTCTAGAGGAAATGATTTCCTAGAGAAACAGAGACTACAGCTGACCCTAAAAATGCTAGAGTAGAAAATTACCACAGAAGAGATTGGACAGGTTATTAACGATCTTAAGAGGGGTCCAAGCAGAACCTGAGTTCTGAGTTCACTGTGTACTTCAAAGCACAGGTAATATTGTCGTTCTTTAGATTATTTCAGACCACAGCATAAGATGGAAAGTCTTTCAAAAATGACATTATTAAACTATTCACGTAGTTATCTTTTCAGGAAACCTTTTGTTTTTACAATTTTTAAAGTGGCTTCTGTTGTGCATCCAGTGATCATGGAGATGGTATCGTAGAGTACAGTGTGCGCAGTAACCATACGTGATCCTCCCATCTCAGAGAGGAGGGGCTGCAGTGTCTGTCTCGCTGTGTTGCTTGAGCCCCTCGAACATACAGTTCCCTCCTCTATCATTTTAATACCAGGATGGGACATTTACATTAGTTCTGTTTCTCAGTTGTAGAGCTACCCACATTGCTAAGAAAAAAATTTATGTGTGCATACACATATGTACACCTGTGTGCACATCTCAATCTTAGCCTGTTCCCGTCTGGAAAAGGAAGATGCAAAACGTCTCCTCTTCTGCTTTATAACTAAAACTAGTGGTTTTGGAATTTTCCGAAAAATACTGGTTTTTATATTTTTATTTTTTGAGTTGGAGTCTCACTCTGTCGCCCAGACTGGAGTGCAGTGGCCGCTCCAGGCCACCGCAGCCTCAACCTGCTGGGCTCCGGCGATCCTTCCGCCTCAGCCTTCCAAGTAGCCGGAATTACAGGCATGCGCTACCACGCCCAGCTGATTTTTTTGATTTATTGCAGAGATGAGGTCTTGCCGCCCAGGCGGGTCTCGAACCCGCAGGCTAGGCAGTCCACTCACCTCAGCCTCCCAAAGGCGTGGGATTACAGGCTGAGCCACCAAGCCCGGCTTGTTTTTTATATTCTTATAGCAGGTTGTACTAATCTATGAATTATAGTGTTACTGTTTTCTATTTTCAAACATTTCTCCTTGTGACTTTGTCATTTTGCTTTGTGAGCAGCAACACTCCCACCTGCAAGACTACATGCCATGATGGGTTGCATTGACCTTTGTGCAGTGAGCCCAGTAGCCATAGTTGTCTCATGTTAGAATGGTTACCGCAATCCGGGAGTTCCCAAATCATGTTCGGTGATTTACTAGAAAGACTCACAGAATTCAGCAAAGCTGTTGTGCTCACATTTGCAGTTTATTACAGAGAAAGGATACAGATTAGAATTAGCAGCAGGACTGGCTCAGAGGCATGGTCTAGGCACTCACTTCCAGCCATCCTTGCCCGGTGGAGTCACACAGGCAATGTTTAATTTCCCCAGCAATGATATATGACAACACGTAGATTGTTTTCAACCAGGGCCTTGCTTTCCAGGGTTTTTATTGGGAATCAGTCACACAGGTATGGCTAACTGCCTGCCTGGCTAACTATAGTCAGTCTCAATCCCCTCTAGAGGTTACGCTGATACTGTGTGGCCCAAGGCTTCAGGTTAAAAAAAAAAAAAAAGACACTTATTATTTTTTTTTTTTGAGTTGGAGTCTCACTCAGTCGCCCAGACTGGAGTGCAGTGGCCGCTCCCGCCCACCGCAGCTTCGACCTGCTGGGCTCCAGCGACCCTTCCGCCTCAGCCTTCCGAGTAGCCGGAATTGCAGGCATGCGCTACCATGCCCGGCTGATTTTTAGATTTATTGTAG